GTGTGTTTGGACTGAGGTTGGGTGGGGTGCCCATGACACTCGTCTCCCTCTTTCTCTCTGGAATGTGTCTGTCTTCTCCTGGCATCTGGCTTTCTGGGAGGGCAGAGTCCGAAACCAAAAGAACTGACTCCCATCGAGTCAATTCCAACTCATAGTGACCCTATAGGACTGAGTAGAACTGCCTCTGTGGGTTTCTGAGACGTCATTCTTTATGGGAGCAGAAAGCCTCGTCTTACTCCCTCAGAGCAGCTGGGGGTTTTCAACTGCTGACCTCATTGTTAGCAGCCCCCTGAGGAACCATTCCACCACCAGGGTCCTGAGGGGACAAAAGGCTCCTTCAGGTGGTGCCTGCCACACAAATGCCTAGAATCCTGCTCCCGTGCCCGTTGGAAGTAGAAGGTGGTTGAGTCCCTCGTGCTCTGACCTGGCTCAACCCTTGTGTTCTCTGTTCTCTTTTGGCAGAATCAGCTTCTTGCAAAAGGATTCTTCTTTGTGGAGGAGAAGATCAAGCTGTGTGAAGGCAAGTACGCCGCCACGCTCGCAGCATGGTGACTCACCCTTTGAGGTTTGGACCGCTGAAGTGCTCCTGTCCCAAGAGCAGGCGCCGGGCCAGTGACTCATCCTGTAGACCTCTTCTCTCTCTCGCTAGGGGACAGCACTTGGGGTAGATGCAGCCACTCCAGGCAGCCACGGCAGAACTGGGTTTAGAAGCATGAAGTAGCGTTGGAGTGGTTTCTTTGGAGGCCGTCTTAAGTGGGAGGTCTTTATGGGATGCCCACTGGCGGGCGGCCTCCTTGGAAGGGATGAAACTTCACTTTGCATCCTGACCTTGTCTGTCTGGCCCTAGAGACCATTGCTTGTGCTTTTGGTGCCGTGGGGTTGATTCTGACTGAGAGTGACCCTACAGGACAGAGTAGAAGTGCCCGCAAGGTCCCTAATAATGCAATCTTTACAGGAACAGGCTGCCACAGCTTTCTCCCATTGAGCAGCTGGTGGCCTGGAACCACCAACCATTTGGTTAGCAGCTGCCCCACTGCCCCACCAGGACACTTTGCCCTTTCCTGAGGACCTTGATAACAGAGGCATTCATTCGGGGCACATGAGGCTACGAGGGACCCACACATTGGGGTGTGGTGTGATAGGTGAGTGGAAATGGCCTGGCCTGGTCTTACCAGACATCCTAGCCCATTGCTAGTCTGGAAGAGCAGTGCCCAGAGGCCGAGGTGGCATCGAAGGCCAAGACCCAGCAACCCTGTTTCTGTGCCAGGGCCCTCTGTCAGCTCCCACCTGTCTGGCTCCAGATCTTTGATTGCCGCCTGCTTGTTTGATGACTACTAGCAAGGTACTATTTTTTTTAACCTTGGTTTTTATCAGTTAGTAAGAAGGGAACGGGGAACTCAGAGTTGTAGGTTTGTGTGGGACCTGAGCAGGTAGAATGATATCTGACCTGTAGTAAGTATGCAAACTGGTTCTTCTTATTATTATTATTTGCTTCTTGTACTCTGGCCTACTGACCTCTCTCTGCAGGTCAAGCTTACATCTAGACCCAAACGTATTAGGTTCCATATCAGCCCCACTCCCTGAGAAAGAGGACTGTTGTCTAGTGGCTTGGGTTCTAGAAAGACAAATTAGAAAGAAACCTGAGGCTCTGACAGTGTGGGAGTCCAGTGCCTGGCACACAGCAGGTGCTCAGCAAACTACTGGAAGAGCCAAACCCAAACCCCATTGACTGCCATCAAGTCGCTTCCAACCTGATAGGGCAGAGTGGAACCATGCTTGTGGGTTTCCAAGACTGTGACTCTGCTGGAGCCAAAGCCTCATCTTTCTCCTGCAGTGCGGCCAGTGGGTTTGAACTGCTGACCTTCTGGTTAGCAGCCCAATGTGTAACCCACTCCATCCCCAGAGCTGCAATTGTTAGAAAATGAGCCTCTGAAACTCTGAAAGTTGCCCAAACCTGTCGCCTTATTTCCCTTGAATATGCCTATCCTGTGACCATTGCCACCCTATCAACATCCACTTGGCAACACACAATCAAGCAAAAACAAAACAAAACAAAGCCGAGGACACCAAGTAGATTCGGACACATTCAGACTCTTTGTAGCAGGGGTGGGAGTTTTCTTTCTGCCAAGGGCCATTTGGGCAGTTACACCCTCATTCACAGACCATGCTGGCCAAACCTTTAATTACCTCGCTCTAATGTGATGACTGGAACTGCATTTCTGTGGTGAGGTGTGTGATGTTTACTGTATTGATGATTTCACCAGCCTGATGTGACGGCTTTATAGGGCTTCCAAGACTGTAAATGCTTTGTGAGCAGACAGCCTCAGCTTTCCCTCTCAGAGTGGCTAGTGGGTTCAAACTGCTGACCCTGTGGCTAGCAGCCCAATGCCTCACCCACAGCCTCACCAGGATTATATACTTAATGCAGGGTCTTCTTGCTAAATGCCCTGTCTTGAGCAGGGCTGTAGTACAATGGCCCTTGTGCATTTTGCAATCGTGCCAGTGCACAGGTGTGGGCATGGCTGTTGCCTAGGGTGTCCCCGGCCACACCATTCACACTGAAACAATGAAAGCCGGAGGGGAGTTAGTCACCGCCCCTGGGAATGTGGAAAAGCGGCTTTGTGAAGAGGGTGCTGCTGAGTGAAACTGGAAATGCAAGTGCCCCTCAAAGGGGAAGCGGGGCATCTCTCACTTAGTGACAGCCACCAGGAAACACTCAGAGGGAAAACCCCCAAACAGAGCCTCACGGTGCACAAAGATCACCAGGCTTGCGGGCTCTGGCCTCAGAGAGTGACAGGCTGGGACCAGGCCCAGGTCTTCTCTCTGGATCCCTCTGTACCCTCCCGTAAGAGAACACTGTCTGATAGAGGGCCTGGAGAGGAGCCCCTCTGGGCGAAAGGTCCTAAGGAGACCACCCGCACTGAGAAGGATGGGGGTCCAGTGCTGCAGCCATGCGGCCAGACTTCACAACGATGGTGTGGAGGGTGCAGGAGAGCGGGCAGTATTTCTTCCTTCTGTCCACGATGTTGCTTTGAATCCAGCATGCTGTGAGAATGCAAGGAAGAATTCTGTTGGGGGGAAAAAAGGATTCATTTGCTCGAAGATAAAGTTTGAAGGTAACAGATAGGATCCTGTCACTGGGCAAGCATCCCTTGATCTTATTTATGTAAGTCCCTGAAGAGAATTTAAAAAACTGCCCTCGAGTTGATTCCCGTGGGATACTGTCGCCCTGCTGCGGTGGGTTTTGAACCCGTCACTCTACAGGGGCAGTGTGCCTAGCCTTGATTTCGGCAGAAGGGAGTGCTGGCTTTGGGTCCATTTGCTTCTGTCTTCGGAGCAGGAGAGTCTACGCTACGCTCAGTCATCTTTGACTTAGGACTTTAATGACCTGTCCTTTTAGGAAGGTTCTTAGACCTCTGGTGACCACGATGCCTGTGGTACATCAGAGGGCAGTTTTTATAGGACAGTCGCCTAGAACCTTCCTCACAAGTCTTCCTCTTTACAGGGACACAGTCTCTCGCGTGTGAGCTGTTTCTGGGGGTGAAGTCACCTCCTTCCTTTACCTCCTGTCTCCCCCAGAGCTGCCTGTTTGGCTAGCCCCGGTCTCTCTGAAGTTCTTCTCTGAACACTTTCCAAAACCTCTGAAGTCTGCAGCCAGCAATTAGACCAGGTTCCTGGGAGGCGCCTGCCTGCTGCCGGAGGAAGGTGACCTCCCGTGGCGGCAGCGCGGTGAGCTCTCCTCCCTGCTGGTGAACCATTGCCAGTGACCTGCAAGATTCTCCCCCTTTAGGAAGAACTCGCTTCCTTCCTCCAACGAAAGGCTTAGGGTAAACAACAAAAGCAGCTGAAGATGGTGCCTTTTCTTCCTCTTAAGGATATAGAGGTATTGGGGTGCAGTGCGGTTTTAGGCTCAGGGTGATCCAGTGTTTCAGATGGTCCTTTGGACTCCTTCCCTGCACGAGATGAACACAGTGTCCATTGGGAAAGAGCCTAGAGATCGATTCATTCTCTCCAACAAAGGTCTATGGACCAGCTGCTCTGTGCCAGGCGCTGAGTCCCGGGGACACAGCGAGGGCTCCCCAATGGTGGAGTGGGTAATGCGGTGGGTTTCATGCCACCGCGCACCCTGGGAGTTTGACTGTGCGTCAGAGTGTTCACTCGGGCAGTAGATTTCGGACGTTGGGTTTGGAGACGTAGCGGCAACGGAGTACAGCGGAGGATCACCGGCCCTCTCGGAGGGAGCTCATACCCTGGGAGCTGGAGAGAGCTGGCCATCTAGTCCCCATCCTGTGTAGACCACTTCAGGGCCGGGCACCACACCCGGAAGCCAGAATCAGGAAGCTTGTTGGTGGGACTGAGGGTCCAGCTGGAGAGGGGAGACCCAGGGCAGCAAAGGGTGGGGAAGAGCAAGCAGGTTGGATAGAGGGCCAGCCGTGTGCAAGCGCACGGGAGTGGGGGAGACAGAAATACAGCCCATAGGGGTGTCGTCCGAATGAAGGCTGGGAAGGAGGAGCCAGACTTCCCCTGGCTGTGGCAGCCCCATGGTGGAGGACTCTTTGACCCAGAGAGCAGAGGAAAATGTTCTGACCAGCTGTTAGGTCCTTTTCTGTGGCGTCCACCTTCCACTCACCAGGCCTCCCAGTCTGCAAACACCTCTGCACCTGGTACTTGCTGTCCGTCCATCCATCCATCCAACCATCCAACCATCCATCCAAGATCTTTAAAACAGTTTTACTGCTGTGAAGGCACTATGCCAAGCAATACAACTGTAACAGCGACTGGGACGGACAGCCCAGATACTCTGAGCCACGCTAGTGGAGCCAGCAAGGAAGGCAAGTAATTGCAACCAAGTGTGATTAGCACTTTGCTAAGAAAAGTCAAGAGATACCGTCGGGTAAGCGCTGGGCCGCTAATCACAAGGTTCAACACCACCAGCTGCTCCTTGGGGGAAAGGTGAGGCTGTCTGCTCCTGAGCACTGACAAGGCCACAGACGCCCGGGATAGATAGGAGTGGGAATGGACTCGGGGGCTGTGGGCCAGGGTCGGATTAGGGGCCGTGAAGGCGATGACACGTGCGCCTTTCTCCCCAGTACATTTCACTCTGACCTCCCCACAGCTGTGTGACGTTGGCCCTCTGGCTACTAGTCATGCCCTTGTTCTTGTCCCTCTTCCCAGCCACCGCTTTTATCATCCGTTAAATTGATAGACGGAAGATGCTAAATGCATCAAGATTTGTTTAGCCGAACTGGCAGTTTGGCCAGTGTCCAATCTCGGCTGACCCAGTTTCTTGGCCAGAGATGAGCAAAGGCAGCGCCCAATCAGCTTTGCGATCTAGGTCAATAGGCAGCGAGGCCCCTGCCTGCCCCCCCACCCCCAGCCCACCTGCAGGTCCCTCACAGCCTGCCTTGGGGTCGGTGGCTGAGGTGGCGCGGGGTCAGAGGTCAGGCTCCCTCATCCGAGGGGAAGTGCGCCCATCATCCGGCGTCAAGCCCTGGTCTTTGCAGGTGACCTCTTCAGAGAATGCTGTTCCCTTCTGCCCCCAGCAACTGCAAAGCAGGTGGCAGCTGCCAGGCCTGCTTCCACTGTCCTCGACCAACAGCTACAATTCCAGTGATTTATTGATTTGAACAACAAAACGAGAAGGGCCAGGGTCTTCCTGATTGGAAGACAAAAGCAGACTACAGTCAGCATCTTCTGATTTAAAAACCAACTTGGTGTCGGGCCGTGCACAGCAGCTCCCTGGAGTGGTTTTGGGACCCGCCTCCGACGGCCTTCAGCAGTGAGATCTGGGCAAGTTGCTGGCCTCTCTCCGCCTGCCACATGGGGCCAATGGAGGCTGTGTCATGATCGGACTCAGAGATAACAAAGTACCTGAGAGCAGAGTAATTGCTCACATGATGATCGCAATGATTGGGCATTTCCTGTACGTCTCCAGGTCTTCCTGTGTGTCTCCACACCCACATGCACTGCAGGCGTCCTTCAGGCTTCTCCAAAGAAAGAGATCCGATAGGCAACGGACATAGCGAATCCCTGGATCTTCCCAGACGTGCTCACCCAAAGGGGCCTCGGGAGCAAGGCCTGGTGACGGACCTCTGATAGAACTGCCATGGGAGAACTCGGGAGCACATGGGCCACCAGGAGTGGGAATGAACTGACTTACCTGGTTTATAGCCGCAGATAACGAAATCCACCATAACTGCCCTCCAGTCGATTGCTGCGCACAGGGACCCTGTACAGCAGAGTAGAACTGCCTTGTGGGTTTCTGAGGCTGTGGATTTTTATGGGAGCAGAGAGCCTCATCTTTCTCCCTCAGAGTGGCTGGTGGATTTGAACCACCAACCTTGTAGTTAGCCACCCAATGGATGGCCCACCACCCCACCACCATAGCACCCAGATACTAGAGGACTTCAAAAATCCATGGGCAAAACTGGAATCAAAAGATAATGGCGTTTTTCCACACACTTTTTGAAGCTGCCTTGGATATAGAAATAGGTTAAGTGTAAGTTTAGATCTCCCTGCCGGGGAAGCATTGCGAGACTTTGAGTTCATGGTTGGAGCCTGGAAAGAAGACCTCATTGCACCCCACCCCCACCCCCCAAGGCTGTCACTCTTGGCAACTTTGACATTGTGCAGCTTTATCTTTTAGATGGAACTGTCTCCCAGCCTCTCTGGCAAGTCATGACAAGTTCTTTTTGTCTTCTCTCCCTTACCTAGGTGAAAATCGCGTTGAGGTTCTGGCTGAAGTCTGGGACCACTTCTTCACCGAGACCCTCCCCACCTTGCAGGCGATATTTTACCCAGTTCAGGTCAGTCTCACCAGGGGAATGGGCTCCTGCGGCCTCAGCCATCTGTCGGATTTCTTGGAAGAGCAAGGGAAAGCCCGGGGTATGGGCCATGGTTTTGTGTGGGTGCTGTGCTCCTGTGGTTAGCACCTAAGTTCAGGCAAAGAACAAGACCTGTATCACCAGCCATTTGCCCTGTGGCCATCTTAAGGCCCTCTCAGAGTCAGCGGTTCAAACCCATCAGGCACTCTTTAAGAGAAAGATGAGGCAGCCTGCTCCTGTAAAGATTTGCAGTCTGAGAAATCCTACAGAGGCTGCCTATGCGTCAGAACTGACATGACGGCAGTGGTTTTGAGTATGTCTTTACATTCTTTTGTTTTCCTTGCTTTAGAGAAATAGAGAGATTGGGAGAGGGAGAGTGTTTTCTTTTCTTTCTTTCTTTTTTTTTAATTAAGTCTCCCTTTCCTCCCAAATCGTGGGAAAGGAGTATTGTCCCCTGTCTTCCTTGACGGACCCTTGAGGCGGTGAAGCCACATGATGTAGTGAAAAGATAGTTAGACCGAGTTCAGTGTGTGCATCTGGGCAGAAGGTTCCACTTCTCTGGGTGTGGCTTTCCTTTCATTGCCTGAAAAACAAGGAGTTCAGAGTAACAGACCAGTGTGTTCGTCTGGGTAAACGAGGGACACAAACCCACAGAAACTCATATGTATAAGAGAGAGTTTTATGTAAAGGATAAGTGTACATTAAAAAAGCATCCCAACCCAGTGCTGTCCAAGTGCATTAGCCCATATGTCCGACATCGATCTACAAAGTCCTCCTCCATCCCACAAAACACATGCAATCATGCCAAAGGAAGGAGGAAAGCTGAATCAGTGAATGTGTAAGCATCTCAGGGCTGGCAGGGGTCTCCACACAGCTGCTCCAGCGCCCAGGGCTGCATCAGGATAGGTCCATGCGGCTTTTCCTCAGGGATGTCTTAAAGAAAGTGAGCCTTGCCAGCTGAAGCAGGGAACTGGCTAAGGCAGCTGCACCCTGGTCCGACCATCAGAAAGCTGAAAGGCGAGGCTCACCAAGCCATTTATCTCTCTGCCCTTCAATTAATCCCACAAGTATTTATTGGCCAAGTTGGCACAATAAACCTTAACTCTCTCAACTAGTGAGCTCTCTTTAGGGATCAGGATTCTTATTCTGTGACCTCAGCTCATTCTACTCAGCAGTTTTTGCCCCTTCTTTTACTTTCTTCCACCCTCTTCTGCAGAGGCAAATATTAGGGCTGATCATTGCCAGATCTGAGAAACTACCCACTAAGGGACCACTCAGGTTTGGTAAAGGGTCAGTGGAAATGGGAAGGTTGCAAGGAGAGGGGAGGGCCATGCCGGCAGCAACAACGTGCTCAAGCATCCCAATGAAGAGGGAGATGCCCAGGACGAGGCAGCATTTCATTGTTACGGATGAGAGAGCCATGGGTCGGAGAAGACTGGAGGGCAGCTGAACCTCACAGGCAGGTTGAGGAGTCCCTGGGTGGGGCATGGGGTTAATACACTCAGCTGTTTAATTGAAGGGGGGAAGGTTTGGGTTCACCGAGAGGTGCTCTGAAGAAAAACCTGGCCACCCACTTCTGAAAGGTTAGCCATTGGAAAGGTATGGGGCACCTTTAACTCCTCAGACATGTTTGGGGTCTCCATGAGTTGAGTCAACCCAACAGCAATGGGGACCTCCTGATGAGGTCTTTCACGGACATCTCTCACACACTGGCTCTGCAGTGTGCTCACTTTCTGTTCTACTAGGGCTAAGCCTTCATATCCAGCAGGACTCTGTTCAAGTGCCGTCTTAGAAAACAGCAGTAACACAGTGGGTTACAAAAACCAGTGGCCACACACACAAACACACACATTTACATCAACAAGCGGCTCACTCGTGAAGCGGATGAGTCTAGTGCAGTTCAAATCTGCACGCCAGATGTTAAGCTCGAGGCAATCCTGTAGCCACTGGGGCTGATGAACCAAGAGGGCCACAGCTAGGCAGGTGCCGAGATGCAGGGAAACAAAGTCAGCCGGCTAGAAGGCAACCTCGATGACCCCCAGGGTCAGCAGGCAACATGGGTGTGTTGTGGGGGAGGGGGCGGGGGGAGCGTGTCAGCTCAACTCTCAAGAAGTGGTGGATGATGTGCCAGATGCAGGATCCAGTCCAGCAGGACGCGAGGAACCTTTCCACAGCGTCTACTGACATCGGGATAACCTTTCCACAGCGTCTACTGATATAGAGATTACCTTTCCACAGCATCTACTGATATAGGGATTACCTTTCCACAGCATCTACTGACATAGGGATAACCTTTCCACAGCGTCTGCTTACATAGGCATAGGGCCACTACTGCGAGGAAATGTCCCTTCAGTTACATTTCGCCCTCGTTTTCTTACGACTGCTTGGCTGCTCACGGCAGATCCTATCATGGAGCTTATTGCATTGTTAGGCCACGTGATGGGGGAGGAGGCCTCAATTGCCAAGTGACTGAGAATCCTGGCCCAGTCCAGTTGACCCCAAACCTATCATCCACGGCAATTAGAGATGGCAGTAATGACCTGTGCAGCTGACCCAACTTGCCTTGCTGAAATTGAAGCATTCACAATTCTTTTAACTACACGTCAGATATTGAGCAGGAGGTAATGCTGAAAGACCTGTCTCCGTATTTCAGGCTTGCCCCTCACAATTCTGGGGTGACAGCACAGGCAGAGATAGCCTCTGCCCTGCAGCCACCCTTCTTAGTCATCCCATGCTCAGGTCAGGGCTTCCGATGCCCCTAGGAGAGACTTTGCAGTGCTTAGATGGCCAGTCTAAACCCCAGTCCCCAAGCCTCCTCCTCCTCTGTGACAGTTGCCCCCGAGTCAGCTGTGGGTCTTCTCTGAGACCCCCGGGGAGAAGGGTTGCCAGAGTTGGCAAATAAAAAATACAAGGTATCTGCTTAAATTGGAATTTCAAAAAAACAGCAAATAATGTAATGGTGGGACATAGATGTTAAAAGTATTCAAATGTAGCTGGGTGACCTATATTTTATCTTGGTGTGGGCAGACCTGGATCTTCTCTCTGGGGTACTGGGGCAGGGACTTCCCAGTTTCAGGCACCCAGAATAGGTGTAGAATGGAGAGACTGGGTTCTCAGTGACCATGTCCCCTGCATAGTCAGAGGAGAGCCCAGAGAAACCCAGAGCAGATGTAAAGATGGCTACTGTCCTGTTTCTTTTGAAAGTTGTTCATGATCTAGCAGCAGTTGATGTAAACCCCTCAACACCAGCAGTTCTCAACCTGTGGGCTGCAACCCCTGTGGGGGTCGAACGACCCTTTCACAGGAGTCGCCCAATGCATAACAGTAGCAAAATGACAGTGATGAAGTAGCAACGACAATAATTTTATGGCTGGGGGTCACCACAACGTGAGGACCTATATGAAAGGGCTGAGGCATTAGGAAGGTGGAGAACCCCTGCTCTACACCCAGGTTTCCCCCTTCCCCTGCTTGGATTGTGCATCTGGGCCCCAGTTTGTTACATCATCCGCCTGGCTAGCGTCTCCGTTTCCTGGACAATCTCAAGGGCTTTTGAGTATGTTGCCGTGTGCCACAGCCCATCTGTCATGTTGTCACACAGCTATGTTTTCATGTTGCTATGAGTCTGGAGGCTGTGCCGTCAGGGCTTCAAACACCAGCAGGCTCACCCACGGGGGACAGATTTCAGCTGTTTCCAAACTACAACAGACTGAGGAGGCCTGAGACCGACTTCCAAAAGCCAGCCAGTGGAAAGCGATGGGTTACCCCATCGCCCGAGACAGTGCTGGACGCCGAGCCCCCTCGACTGGGTTACAGGCCAACTGCGTGGCAGCCCCACAGTCGACTCCAGCTTACCAACCCTGATGGAGATGACGCAGAACGGGTCACATGGCGTCGCCGGGAGCTGGCAGCGACTTTTCGGCAGCTGAAAGTGACAGCATCCCTGCTTCAGAGTGGAGTTGGCTGAGGTTGGCCTGGCTCGGGGAACCTTTGGCTCTGGAACGAGACAGCGGAGAGCAAGCAGTGATGATCCATCGCTCGTGGGCGGCCAGGGCCACCGTGGGCTTGCAGGGGACCGGCTGCCTCCTTCCCTTCGGGTTCTGAGCCAGGCGCACACGCTCAGGTTTTTATGTGACTGAATCGTTCCGCTTCGGCTGGGTTTTACCATGCTTTGGGTTTTTGGACATCCTAAACCAACAGCATAGCCCATTCTGAGTTAGGGTGAATTCCTCTTCTGATCCACTGGGGTTGGACTAGTCAGTGCCCTGGCTCGTGGCCCCAGATCATCCTCTTAGAAAGGACTGGATGTGGACAGCAGACTGGTGTGCCCCGACTGGCCCCGGTGCCCTCCCGTGAGATGACTCCCTGCCAGCAGGGGAGAGCAGACCTTTATCACTCAGGGGACCAATGAGGGCTTCTCAAGATAAAGCCACGTGCGGTGGTGGGATTAAGGAGGTATTAAGGTGGGATTCAGGAGGCAAGGTATTGGGGCCGCTTCTTACTCAAGTGCTTGCACCACGTTACTGTCCTGGGCCCGCATTTAAACCCAAGAGGAGCCGGGCACTGGTTCACCAGGCCCCTGTGGTCACTGGGAAACCGAGGCGTTTCTCATGAGTGTGTCATGTTTAAAGTTGAGCTCACAGTCCCAGAGGACAGGACGGTCAGCACCCAAGCCTTGTCTATATCCAGTGGATTGCTGCTCTCTCCCAGGATGGGAGGCAGCAGGACCGCCTAGGGGAGAAGGTGGCCATGGGACTGTCATCTAAGGAGGACATACTGGCCGTCTATGCCAGGCAGTTACTACACCACAAAGATGAGATGGCAAGGGGGCATGGAAGCGAGCTTCCTGGGAGTGGAGCTGCCAAAACGTAGTCAGTAATGGGAATGTTGATCCCTGAAACAGAGGAACCGGGGCCCCTGGGCCCCTTGCACAGAAGTCGTGGGATGGGAACCTAGTTGGCTGTCTATGTTTTCATGGAGAACAC